ATTTCTGTGCATAGCTATACTTGCATAACTCGCAGTTTTATTGAAAAAGAAACAACAGAATAATTTGCAATTAAAAAAGCTATTTGGTATGTTATTTTTTTACAAGCCACTGCTAAATTAAAATGGATCTATTCATCTACAGCTTGCTCTGATGGAAAAGTGTATGCGCAAAACATGATTTGGTGATTAAATCTATATGGCACACAGCCTATGAATACATTGTTCACAAACAGGAATAGACACCAAGAGGCATGGAAGATTATTTAGGAGAATAAGCATGGATTTAATATGTCTCGACAGCAGTGAATTAACTAACATTATTGATTTAATGTGTTCAACTTGGTAAGAATTATTGCTTGGTCAAAAGTTCAGAAAATCTCTAATGTCTTTTGGCTGAATAAAAAGAATAGGACTGAGCTGAAGGGGCAAAAGGGGAATGTGAAACAGTTCACTCTCTTTTCTTTTGTATGGTTGCCTGTGTTTCCCAGTTGGTAGCAACAATATTATCAAAGTTGGGTTTTGCACCAAAACTGCCTTATGGTGCAGGGAACAATGGTGGTTGCCAGTGGAGCCTTTTCTATTCTCCAATTTCTTCTTGGAACATTATGTCAAGATGTAACATCATTTGTGAGACATTATGGCAGGACGCCTGGGTATACAGGTGGGGAACTGGCCAATGAAGCAAGTGCCACAATCAGTATTAGGTTTGCTTCCAAGGATTCAAGTGAACTATTTATGATAACCTTCTCATAAGATTTCCTTTGCAAGATTTACTTAAAGAAGGTTTGTCATTGCTTTCCTCTCAAGCTGAAAGAGTGTGACTTGCCCAAGGTCAGGCTAAGCAGAGATTCAAACCCAAGGGGGGGAGTGTTAGGGGTTAACCCCCCCTGAAATTTTTCAGGTTAAAAAAACCCTGGTTTACTCATGAATTTTAACTGGTTAACCATATCCCCCTGCTAAGTCTATGAGAAGCAAAAATTAAAGAGTCCCTCCAGAACTGCAAGCACTATCTCAAGCAAATTTTGACAATTTATTCACACTGTCATTACTTGCAACAATAGCTGATAATGTGAAAGCAACCAAGTTGGCCCACCCATAAATGGCAGGCAAAGCCTAAGGCATTGGGAGGGGGAGGGGATTTGAAGACCCTTATGAAGGAGATCGGACTTGGTGTGGACAGTTGACAGGGGTGGAGCCATTTAAGGCTGCTCTTTCCCTCTGTTGTTATCTTTACTTCAGCATGAGGCAGGTTCCTAATGGGGAATTGGGCCTTTCCCTCCTTGCTCCCCCCCCCTGCCTTTTTCCAGATAGTAGGGTTCTCACTGCTATGCCAATGTATAGGTCATTTTCACTCATAAATATTTGAAAATATACATAAGAAGAACAATAGGACAAGAAAGAGTGTTCACTGAGACAAGAAAGAGTGTTCACTGAAGTTTATCAATGGAGTCCAATTTCTCACAAAGTATATTGGCACAGTTTTCAAGTGTTTCCAACAGATGTTATATTCTTTTGCAACTATAAATTGCCAATTAACAGTCATTTTTGGTTTTTTTAAGACTTGAAACTTTATAACTGAAATAGAAAAGTGATTTAATTAAATCTATATAAAAATATAGATTGAACCATACTATTTAACTTATTTTGTGTTATGGAAGTACTTTTCATGATTCGCTGTCTCATAACCTGTCTTACTGTGAGACTGTCCTTTGATGCTCTTTCATAATACCTTCCTGGAGTCATCTTCCTTTTTCATTAAGCCTTCGTCAAAAGCATATTTTATTTTGTGGGCATGTAATTTGTTGGGTTTAAAACTGTTTTAGTTCCACTAGCCTAAATCCATTGAAATGAATCCATGTATTTGATTCTTATCCTTCCTTTCACTACAACTAGGACTCAATGCAGGATGCAAAAGACAAAACAGTATTAAACAAAAAAATAAATTTTAAATGTTTTAAAATAAAAATACATGTTACATATCAAAATAGCACATTCTTCTTTGCCAACAAGATTAAAGACTAAAAAGGTTTGTTCAAATAGAAGGGTTTTTGCCTAATGGAATAAAGAGACCAGAGAGGGGTCCTTCAAGATTTCTTTGGGAGTGAATTCTGGAGCCTAGAAGTCTGCAATCTCTATCCTGATTTTAAATGCTCAATTATTTTAGTTAAAGCATCTGAATGACCACATGTCAATTGGAGTATGGTGGGCATTTGACTACTTCCATTTATTCCTTGTACCACTTTTGCACCTACCTCTTGCTGCACAGTTCCTGTATCCTTTCTTTCCCTCCTCTCCATTACTTTATTCTCTTCTATGATCCCTCTGCTTAATGTTAAATTGTGATGTAATGGTTTTTCTTGTGCTATTCCACAAAGACCACAATGGCCATACAGTAGCAGTAATGTTCTGTATTGAATCAGGAATTGATTTGAAAACTTATGGAAGTTCAGATTTCTAATGACTTAGCAACTCTCCTGACTCAACCTCTTTATTTCACGAGAATCATACCATAGAAGTAGAAAGGACCATAAATGTGATATAGTCATGACCCTGCCATACATCAGTGTAGACTGGTCTATGACAGGGTCATAGGGAGACGGCTTATTCACACAGAATTGACCAGAATGATATAATGGGAACTTAGCAATTTATACTGCAAGAATGCAAACTAAACCATCACACACGACTATATTTCTTCTTTATGAGAAAGCGCTGTTCAATATTTTAATACTTCCATCCTTAAACAAAAACCAATCCCATGAATTTGATTTAGGTTATTGTTCCCCAACCACCACTGAACAAATTCTGCCAAGAAAACTCTGTGATAGTTTCACTTTAGGGTTGTCATAAATCAGAAATGACTTGAAAATACACATACTACATTATTGAATAGTTCTGATATAACGTAGCCCACAAGAGGGAGCTCCCTAACCTACAATATTTCAAAAGGGGAAGTTAAAATCAGGGTTCTTTTTTTAAAGAGTAGTGAACATAACTTCTATGCACATGCTACAGCATTTAGGCTTTACTATGCATGTTTTTGAAGTTTAGTGTTTAGTGCTTTCTTCGAAAAATTGTAAATTACATTTGCAAATGTTATATTCCTCAAAGTGTCTGGATATGATAACTGAAGCCAGTCTTGTCCTAAATTCCACAAAAAACTTCCTCGGAACATATCCAGTTAAGATGATTTCTAAGCTTTCCTGATCATTGTTCTCTATTTTTGTAGAAAACCGTAACAATGTAATCCTGAATGTGAACAGTTCAAGATGAGAGGGCTAAAGACAATTGTCTGAGGTGCATCCCCAGTGTAGAATTAATGCAGCTTGACACTACTTTAACTACCCTAGCTCAATGCTATGGCATCCTAGGAATTGTAGTTTTACAAGGTCTTTAGCCTTCTCTTCCAAATAGTGCTGGTGCCCCACCAAGCTAAAACTCCTAGGATTACATAGCATTGGGCCATGGCAGTTAAAGCAGTATCAGATTGCATTCATTCTGCAGTGTAAATGCACTCATAGGACTAGTCCTTACAGTCTTTGGGTGCATTTACATTATATAATTAATGCAGTTTGACACAACTTTAGTTGCCATGGCTTGATACAACTGAATCATGGGAGCTGTCATTTTACAAGATCTTTAATCTTCTCTGCCAGAGTGCTGGTGTCTTACCAAACTACAACTCCTAGGATTACATAACATTGATTTGTGGCAACTAAAGTGGCAGTTAATTCTTCAGTGTGGATAAACACTTTAGAGCCTGAGCAGAAAATTATTAATAAAGCATCCTGATGGTTTTAATTCTATCATGATGAGCAATAACAAATCTTATTAATGCAAATTCAATATACCTAATTAAAATGTGAATGGATTCTTCGAAGTCTGAAGGGAGTGCAGTTAATTTTAAAACAGAAGGTATAAAAAAATAGCTGGCAACCAGTTTTTTGGTTTGACATGCAGAAAGCAAACAAGCATGTATACAACAAGACCCAACTATTTAATCTGGGCTTCTTTCTCTACTCCATAATGACTGTTTTCCTCAAAGAATTCATACATATCTCAAATAATTCAACAGAACCATATGACACATATTTTCCAATTCTAATAATTATGTTCCCTAGGATAGACATTGTTTTAACATTCCTTTCCCTTGAAAGCCTACTTCCAACAGCCTTCTCTTAATCTGTGGGCGAAAAGCACTTCCCCATCTCAGCTGTATTTTCTTATCTTCAAAACACCATGGCCATTGCTTTGTACCACAGAGATATTGTTGGGTTCCAAAATACATACTGACCACTGATTGTCTAGACCTGATTTCACTTCTTCTCATTGAAGGAATCTTTCTGTATAAACTTGTACTAAAAAGTCACTCAAAAATTTGAAATGGCTGAGATGAGTTGGAATTTTGCAAAATTCGATTTGATTTAAGCTAGAGAGAGTAGAAATGGCCCTATGATGGCAATCTAATTAACAACATAAATAATCTATCTATCTACCTACCTATCCATCTAATATAGTTACCCACTCTGTCACCAAGAGCTGACTGCCAGTCTTAGAGTAAGCTAAATTATTATTTAATTGATCTTTTAATAATGCAAGAGGATCTTGTCCTAACATTGATTCATATGCTGTAACTGCCTTCGGAGCATCACCTGCAAAAGGTGCATAATATTAGGTGGAGAATGCCATTTTCTTTTGCTTTCATTTTGGGAAAACAAAACGGACCCTTCATTTGTTAGTTGAACCTTAACAACACATAGGAGAGCCGACTCTTCTTCTCTGTGTTGTTTAGGTTGTTCTGTCACTCCGCACAATTGAACTGTGTTTGATCTCCATTCAAATCCAGAATGTCATCACAGAACACATTTCTGGTCTATGAGCTCATTCACTAGACTGCCCAGATTGGATGCACTGGAGAGGAAAACTCTGCAGACGCTCTGAATTTTAGAAGGAACTTAGGCTGAAAAAGAAAACTCATTTCAGTCATTATATGGCCTTACCATATGTAAAATAGGCAACCTGAGGAGGAAGGGTGACATTATTGAGGTCCTCATCCGGAACATATAAATCCACATAATGTTGTGCTTCTGATGCTTTGAGGAATGCCATGAATCTGGCAGTGAAGGAAGCCACGAAGATTGAGAGCATCCCGAAATCCAACAAGTTCCAAAGATGCATGACATATTCTCGGGGGCCTTCTTCCCAAATTTCTTTGCATTCAGACCATATCATTCCTACAAAGGAACACAAACTTTTAGTGCTATAAAACAAATTGTTGCAATTTTTCAGTCATGTTTTCTACCCAAATGATGCACTAAACTTTTTCTAGTACTTAGTGTAGCTTTCTTACCACATTGACACAGTCATAAAGACAACATTCCTCACTAAAGCTTGGCCAAATTATTTGTTTAGATTAAAATCCTGAGAATTCTCCACCAGCCCAACTCACCGTGGGAGATATTACACTTTCCAAGCTCCTTTTTCTTCATTTTCAGTCTAAATGTGAAATCAAAATTATACAAGTTGAACATTCCTTATCTATATTCTCCAATCTGAAATATTCCAAAATCCAAAATTAGCCATCTGGGTGGCTGAGATATTGACCCTTTTACTTTGTAATGTTTCAGTGCACACAGATTTTGCTTCATGCACAAAAGTATTAAATATTATGCATTAAATTACCTTTGGGCTGTGTGTATAAGGAGTATATCAAACATAATGAATTTTGTGTTTAGCCTTGAAAACCATCTCCAAAATATCTTATTATGCATATGTAAGTACAGGCAGTACCCAAGTTATAAACAAGGTAAGTTCTATAGGTCTGGGTTGCTGTAAGTTCTATAGGTTCTATAGATAAGTTCTGTAAGTTTGTTCTTAAGTTGAATTTGTATGCAAGTCAGAATTGGTACGTTTTTAAAGTGTAGCTCCAGCCAAATATACGTGTGTGTGTGTGTGTGTGTGTGGACTGTGCAAAACTATTGTTAGTCCTCTTCAGTCGTTAGTAATTCATTAGATTTGTGCAAATGAATTGCTATTAAGAAACATGCAAGAAAGGGGGAGAAAAAAATAAGAATAAAAACACTCACCAATAATTTTTGTTAAGATTCCGTAACATTCATTAACCTCCCACAGTCAGTTTAATTTTCAGTATAAGCATTAAAATTTTTTGACAAAGCCAAAGGGGCCATTGTTGTTGTTTATTCGTTCAGTCGCTTTCAACTCTTCGTGATCTCATGGACCAGCCCACGGCAGAGCTCCCTGGTGTAGTATGTATTTTACTTTTGCAGGTATGTATTTTATTTTTACTTTGTACTTTACTTTATTGTAATTCTTGGGCTTGGCCTCATGTTAGCCATCCCGAGTCCCCTTGAGGAGATGGTGGTGGGGTATTATATATGTATGTGTATGTATGTGTGTGTATATATGTATGTATATATATATATATATATATACACACACACACACACATAGTGTTTGAATTAAATTAAGATCAAGACTGCTTGCCTGTTGTCATAAGGAAGGGCAGTTGGGGCAGCATGAGCTGAGCTGGACAGAAGACTGGGAAATGTAGTTTGGGAAGGTGAGGCCACCTGTGGCAGAGAATTCAAAAGGCCCTGCCCTAAACTACATTTCCCAGAATGTGGTGTTCAGCCTCCGAAAGCATCAATGAGGGCTGGAGCAAATCTAATAATAATAAATAAAAATATTGAATCTGCAAAGATGACTAAAGTAAGTAAGTAATAAGTATGAATATGTGCTATGTTGAAGTTCTGTGGTTCATTGTGTGTTTTATAGACACACTGTTAGACAGACATTCAGGGGAATTGCTGTTGTGGCTTTGTGTGTGTGTGTGGGGGGGGGAGGGGTAAAATGTTTTTGTCTAAAATTATAAAAATCCCCATAAGTCAGTAAATATGTGAATCTTTTTGAAACTTGGGGGCATTGATGTCCTCATTTTCTTGTGCATTGTATATAAATTCAAGTAGATAGCTCTTGTAGGTTTATTTTTAAAAAATATGGTAAAACAAATAAAAAATTCTCCAAAATTTAGTGGATGGGTATAACATTTTGAAACTTGGTGGGCTAATGTGTGGTACAATTATAGGCAGTGTCATCATGATAGCTCTAGAAATGAGCTCCTGAATTTTTCCCATTTGCTCAATTACTTAACAAAAAAAGTAACGAAAAATTCGTTACTTCATTATAGTTACAAAACTTTTTAGGTCTATAATTTCAGGAACACCCTCAAAACTTATTCACCACCCTCCCCAATTTTGTAATGAGTATTGAAACATTTTTCCCCCATTGATCACACAGGCTATCTATCTCTATCTATCTATCTATCTATCTATCTATCTATCTATCTATCTATCTATCTATCTATCTTTGGACAGCATAGGGAAGGGTTAGCACCCCTATGCTGTTTGTCTTGTTGTCTGTAAAATCTTGTTCAGAAGATTTCACCCCACTTTCTATCCCTGTGATAATTGGATTTTGAAAAATTTGGCTTGTTGTGGAATCAAAGATAAGCGATAAAGCTTCTGTTAAGACATATTTTTCCCATGATAACTCAGTGAATTTCCCTTCCTAGGTGTAGATTTCCCTCACTTCCTATTGTCTCATTCCCGTTCTTAAACTATGAGTCATTTATAAGTCGAATGTTTGTAACTTGGTGACAGCCTGTATTCCAAAATCCAAGGAATTAAATTAAGATAAAATAAAATCAGAAAAACAGAACACTTCTGTTCTGATTCCGTATAAGGGGTGCTCAAACTGTGTTAGGCAGAATAGTCTACATTCCATTGTAGCATCCACTGTGCCAAATTTCACAAATTTTCAGATAATCAAGAAATAATATCTATTTAATGCAAAGTACTTTCAAGTCTTCAAAGTGCTTCATATGCATTATCTATTTGCCATACGTAACTCAGTCCAGTAAAGTAAATTACTTTTGCAAGATCCAGTGTTACTGATTGGTCAGCTGAAGCTGAGACTTACATCTGTGAGGCTATCTAATGACTTCATAGTAAGAATTAAGTTCTTAACTTGAAACTTTCTGATTAGTACTTCATTATATCACTTGGCAGAATAAGGTTAACAGCAAATTTCATTGCAGGGCAGGAAATTTGTAATTATTTGTTTTGTTAATACTGTCAGGTGTGATTATATGCCAAAATAACATGACAGCACCTTAGTTTGAGTGGGTGAAGCTGAATAATCAGATATAATTACTGCTGTTTAAAAAAGTTTATTCACTGTGTGCGTATGCCTTCAAGTCTCCTGTTGACTTATGACACCCATATCAATTTTCTAGGATTTTCTTAGGCAAGGAATACTCAGAAGTGGTTTTGTCAGTTCCTTCCTCTGAAATATAGCCTACAGCACATGGTCTCCCATCCAAACACTAACCAAAGTTGACCCTGCCTAGTTTCCAAGATCAAACACAATATGGTGCCTATAGGGTATTTAGGTCCTACTATGCAGCAAGATGTTATGCAGTAAAGGTAAAGGTTTCCCTGACATTAAATCTAGTCATGTCTGACTGTGGGGGTGGTGCATCTCCATTTCTAAGCCAAAGAGCCAGTATTGTCTGTAGACACCTGCAAGGTCATGTGGCCAGCGTGAATGCATGGAGTCCTGTTACCTTCCCACAGAAGTGGTACCTATTAATCTACTCATATTTGCATGTTTTTGAACTGTTAGATTGTCAGAAGCTGTGCCTAACAGCTGGAGCTCACCTCACTGCCCGGATTCGAAATGCTAACTTTTCAGTCAGCAAGTTCAGCAGCTCAGTGGTTTAACCTGCTGCACCACCAGCCCCCCCCCCCCAAGATAATGTTATAGCACCATTCTAAAATATTCAGAGAGCTGGCACAAAATATATCTTGCATTTATGTAGCCTGTCTCAAAACATCCATCTCTTTGAAGTAATTTAATAAGATTTCAAAAATAAATAAGCCATCTTGTCATGCATGAATTTTGTACACTTTGTCATTTGTTTACTTTTTCCCAGATCAAATATCTTACAGCATTTGGGTTTAATATATTTTTTTTCTTCGTGGTCTCTGCGAATGCACACTTGTGGAGAGACTGCGCCTGCGCGGGCTCCAACGGAAACTTCTTCATTTTAAAACTTTTCAAGTTTTGGCGGTAACCCCGCCCAGCCCCGGCAGGGGATAAAAGGGCGCCCCGCGCACACCGATCCAATTCCTTTTTTTCCGCCGCACGGCTCGCTTCGGTACTTCTAGTTGGATAGATTCTCTACAGACTTTTCCTCGAGTTGTTTGACAGTATTATGTCAACAACTCGCTTCAAAAGATGCGCGAATTGTCCGAAGAAGATCCCTGATTCGGACAAGCACGCTCTTTGCCTTTTGTGTCTCGGAGAGGCACACATTACTTCTTCGTGTCGTCATTGTCAATCGTTGACGGCACAGGCCCGTAAGAACCGGGTCCATCGGCTTCGATACCTTCTGTACCAGCAGACGTTGGCTCCGGTACCTTCAACATCGACATCGGCGTCGACGTCAGCTGCGGTATCCAGGCCTTCGACATCAGCTTCGACGTCGAAGGGAGCATCGACATCAAAATCTGTCGATCCCTCGACGGAGACCGAGCCTCGCCAGACAAGGGCGAAGAAGGTTGTGCAGAAAAGGCTGAGAACAGCTATGTCGACAACTTCTAAGGCCTCGGTGTCGACAGCTTCCAAGGCCACAAAGCCTACGAAGCAAAAAGCTCCATGCACGGTCACGACCGAGACCGTACGCATCCGGCACTCTTCGACCAGCTCAGTGGCGTCGGTGAGATCGATCAGGTCCACGAGGTCGACATCGGCGACTCCGCCATCTTCCACGGCGGTTCGCATTGCCTTTCGCCGGTCTCAAGAAGAATCTCGGCGTGCTTCCACCTCATCCTCCGTCCCGCCCACCCCGGGCAAGTCTGTGTCGAAGACAGCTCAGCCGCCGGCAAAGAAGAAGAAGATGATGCCGCCTCCATCCTCGTCTTCTTCTTCTTCCCGAAAGCATACCACCGCCTCCTCGGCCACCTCGTCGGCAAGGTCATCGCCGTTGCAGCCTGCTGAACCCCAGCCGGCCCCACAGCCTGCCCAGGAGCCACAACCTCTGCCGGAATTGCCTTCGGAACAACCCGAGTCCCCGGTGATCTCGGTGGACACGGTGATCGAGGCACCAGTTCGACATGTGACAGCCAGACAGGAGCTTTTCCCGTCGGTCACG